ATAGATTTTTAAAAAAAAGTTTCTTCTGTATAGCACAGGGAACAATGTTCAATATCTTGTAATAACCTTTAACAAAAAAATATGAAAACGAATATATGTATGTGTATGCATGACTGGGGCATTGTGCTGTGCACCAGAGATTGACACATTGTAATTGACTGTAATACAATTTAAAAATAAGAAAGAAAGCAAGCAGGAAAAGAGAAAAGAAAACTAGATTATGTTACAACCAGTCCACCAGGGGCCTATTTTATATGCATATTTATATGTATATGTTTATAAATGCATAGAAGGATTCATCCACTTGTTAATGAGTTATCTCAATGAGGGGACAGAGTATAGCTCAGTGGTAAAGTGTGTGCTTAACATGCATGAGGTCCTAGGTTCAATCCCCAGTACCTCCATTAAAGATAAATAAATAAATGAACCTAATTATTTCCCCCCCAAAAATAAACAAACAAAAAAAGAATTTAAAAAAATTTTTTAACTTAAAAAAAAAAAGGTCTCTGGTGGAACATGGGGAGGAGGGGAAGAGATTAACCATAAGAGGATCTTTATCTTGTATTTACAGACTTTTCTATGTTGCTTTATTTTTGTCTTACAACAGGCATGTGGCTTTTTTATAATTTTTTAAAAACCCATAATTATGTTTTAGAAAAAAATAACTTCCTCATTTTGTGAGTGTGAAGGTAACAACATGTGGAGCCCTTACCACAAGCCTGGACGTTGGGGAAGTGTTTCATTAATGGTATTTATTACTGCTATGGCTATAAAATACCGACACTGCCTTCATTCATGTTTCACTCCCTGAACTTCTTCATGTCTCTTGTGTAAATGTTACCTTCTTAGTGGAGCTTTCCATGGACTCCCTATCCAAATTGCTACCCCTTTCACCACACACACACAGCCTCCCACACACGCACGTACTACACCTCTTCCCTATTTGACTTTGTCCTTAGAACGTCTCTGTCTCACAGGCTCTACTATTTACTTGTCCTGTTTCCTCCTGCGAGAATATTAGCTCTAATTGGGCAGGGCGTTTGAGTCAACTTTGCTTAGCACCTAGGAAAGGCCTGGCACGTCGGAGGCCCTCAACAAATATTAGTTAAATGATTAACAATGCCTGACCTTAGGATGCTTTTGCAAACATGGGATAAGGTCATCTACGTAGAGCAGGTGGACCAGAGAAGCAGGAGAGCATGGTGATTCTTAACAACATGGCTCTGGCATTAGACTGCCCGTAGGTGAATGTGGGTGAACTACACTGGGCAAGTTCCTTAATCTCTCTAAGTCCTGATCTTCCTTAACTATAAAATGGGGATTAAAAAGTCCAAAAGAACTTCTGTTTCTAGCCAAGGTAGAGCGACAGCAACCAGATTCCTCCCTCCACCCTCTCACCACCAACGAGGACAAAAATATATGAGATAATGGTGTTTAAGACACTGGTTCTCAGTCAATAAGGGGCAGTGATCCCTGAGAGATGGGAAACAAATGAGGAGAGCCCTGTGGTTGCCCAATTTAGAGCCGTGGAAGATGGAACATGGAGATGGAACCCAGACAGAGCCTGGTGGACATTCTGAGTTGAGGAGATGGAGTTGAGAGGAGGGGGAGACTGAGGTGGGCAGAGTTTCAGGGCAGAGAACCAGAGAGGAGAGAGAGCCACACAGAGGGAAAACCCTGAGAGGACTTTGCAGAGGGTCTCCCTCAAGTATTCAGTAGGATGCTGATGAATAAGTAGTGGTCAGAACAGAGTACCAATCATGTACAGAAAATAAGTGAGGCGGAGAGGGAAAAGGCACCTGCGAGTTCAGTGGTAGGAGTGTCCATGTACTCCAGTCCTGCCTAGCAAATATTAAAAACAAGACCTGCAGGGATCAGACTATTTCCAAGTATCTTGCCTACATCCCAGAACACAGCTCAAAACTATTTCTAAAAATGAAAAATTTCCAGCACCCTACAAGGTAAAATTCACAGCATGTAGCATCCAGGAAAAGATTACCAAATACACAAAGAAGCAGGAAACTATGACCCAAACAAAAAGATAAATCAATCAAAACTGATCCAGAAGTGACACAGCTATTAGAAATGGCAGATAAGGACACTAAAATAGTCATTATAATTTTATTTCATATGTTCAAAGAATTAAGTAAAGATATGAAAGCTATAAAAAAAATCAAATCAAACTTTGTTGTATTTTTCAACAAGCTAAATCCCGAGTACAAGAAAAATAAGAAAAATGACTCCTAGGTACATCATAATCAATTGCCAAAAACCAGAATAAAAAGAAAATCTTAAAAGCAGTTGAGTTATCAAACTAGAATTCCATACCCAACAAAAGTATCGTTCAATAATGAAAGCAAAATAGAGACTTTTTCAGAACGACAAAAGCGGAAAAAATTTACAACCAGCAGACCTGTATTACAAAAATATTAAAGGAATCATTCAGGCTTAAAGACATAATGATTCTTAACAACATGGCTCTGGCATTGGGCTGCCCATATGTAAATGTGGATTTACTGGTTACAAGCTGAGCTGCTCTGGACAAATTCTGTAATCTCTTATGGAGATCTAAATAGAAATATGGAACTACATAAAGGATTGAATTGCAGTGGAAATGGTAATATGAGTAATGACATGAGAATTTAAAATTACTTAAATATCTTTAAAAGATAATTGATTGTTCAAAAAACAATGACTGCAGCATGGGGTTTAAAACATATGGCAAAGTAAAATGTATGACAATAATTGCATAAAAATTAGGGAGGGAAATATGGAAATATATTGCTTCCTATAAGATACTTATATTATAGGTAAAGTAAACAATATGACTTGAAGTTAAAGTGTAATAAGTTAGAAATGTATACTTTAAACTCTAAACTGACCACTAAAATAAAACAAAGAATTAATAAGCCAAAAAGGAACTAAAAAGGAATAATAAAGGTATTCAATGAATTCAAAGGAAGGCAGAAAAAGAGAAAAGAGGAACAAAGAACCAATGGGCCAAATAGAAGACAAATAGCAAGATGATAGATTTAAAGCTAACCATATAAATAGTTACATTAAATATAATGCAAATATTCTAACATCTCAATTAAAAGGTAGAGATTATCAAAATGATCCAACTGTATGCTGCTTACAAGAAACTCACTTCAAATATTAATACACAATTAGGTTAAAAGGATAGAAAAAGATAAATGGTGCTTACACTGATGGAAAGAAAGCTAGACTGCTTATATCAGTACCACACAAGTAGATTTCAGAGGAAATAGTATTATCAGGGATAAAAGGGTTGTTTCATAATGAGAGAGGAATCAATTCATCAAGAGGAAATAAAAATACTGAATGTGCATGCACCTAATAAAAGAGCTTCAAAATACATGAGTCAAAGATTGATAGAACTACCAGGAGAAAGACAGAAATTCACAATGATAGATTCCAGCATCCCATTCTTGATAATTGATAGAACTAGTAAAGAGCAAATTAGTGAGGATATAGACGATTTAAACAACACTATTCAACCAACTTGACCTAACTGATATTTGTATAACATTCCATCCAAGAACAGCAGAATACATATACTTTTCAGATGCACACAGAACTTGACCAAGATAGATAAATGGGCCAGAAAACAAATTTCAATAAATGTAAAAGGATTTTCATACAAAAGGATTTTCTGACCGCAGTAGAATTAAAACATCAATTGATAATTGATTGAAGATCACTGGCAAATCTCCAAATATCTGGAAACTAAACAACATACTTCTAAAAATCCCAGGGGTCGAAGAAGAAATCATGGGAGAAATTAGGAAATATTTTGAACTGCATAAAAATGAAGGCACAACATATCCAAATGTGTGGGATACTGCTAAACATAACTGGGAAGGAATTTTATTGCACCCCTAATCTAAACTATTAGAAGCAGGGAGGGTATAGCTCAGTGGTAGAGTGTGTGCTTGATGTGTACAAAGTCCTGGGTTCAATCTCCAGTACCTTCATTTATAAACAAACAAACAAACAAACAAACAAACAAACCTAATTACCTCCCCCCCACCAAAACAAAAAAATACAATAAAATAAAGTATTAGAAGAGAAGAAAGATCTCAAACCAATGACTTGTAATTTCACATTTACATTAAGCTAGAGGGAGAAAAAGCAAATTAAGCACAGAGTAGTAGAAGAAAGGAAACAATAAACATTAAGAGTGGAAATCAATGAAATAGAAAACAGATAAGCAATAGAGAAAAAAGCAAAGCTAA